TACCCACTGTATCTTAGGCATGCAGACAAATAAATCCCGTAGTTGGTCTTCAGAGGAAAGGCGAGGCTCGTCTGTGGATAAGACAGCGGAGGTTGAGCAAAAGAGCCATAATGTTGAGGTGGAAGATGGGATTGAGCAAAAGATCCAACAGAGCCAACATTATCTTAATGTGGCCTGTCAGCCACACGTGGTGACCAGCCCACCAGAACTGGTGACTAGTGCTTCAGAAGTAGTGACCAGTCTGCCACATGTGATAGCGAAACTGTTAGAGGCGGTGTCTAGTATTTCAGAATTGGTGGCCAAAGCGTCAAAGGTGTCGGCCAATTTGTTAAACATTGTAGAGGTGTTTACCAGTCGGCTGCACGTGGCTACCAGTCCACCAGAGGTGGTGACCAGTCTACCAGAGGTGGTGACCAGTCTACCAGAGGTGGTGACCAGTCTACCAGAGGTGGTGACCAGTCCACCAGAGGAGGTGACCAGTCCACCAGAGGAGGTGATCAGTCCATCAGAGGAGGTGACCAGTCCACCAGAGGTGTTGACCAGTCCACCAGAGGTGTTGACCAGTCCACCAGAGGTGGTGACCAGTCTACCAGAGGAGGTGACCAGTCCACCAGAGGAGATGACCAGTCCACCAGAGGAGGTGACCAGTCCATCAGAGGTGGTGACCAGTCTACCAGAGGAGGTGACCAGTCCACCAGAGGAGATGACCAGTCCACCAGAGGAGGTGACCAGTCCATCAGAGGTGGTGACCAGTCCATCAGAGGTGGTGACCAGTCCATCAGAGGTGGTGACCAGTCCATCAGAGGTGGTGACCAGTCCACGAGAGGTGGTGACCAGTCCACGAGAGGTGGTGACCAGTCCGCGAGAGGTGGTTACCAGTCCAGCAGAGGTGGTTACCAGTCCAGCAGAGGTGTTGACCAGTCCACCAGAGGTGTTGACCAGTCCACCAGAGGTGTTGACCAGTCCACCAGAGGTGGTGACCAGTCCACCAGAGGTGGTGACCAGTCCACCAGAGGAAGTGACTAGTCCGCCAGAGGAAGTGACTAGTCCACCAGAGGAGGTGACCAGTCCACCAGAGGAGGTGACCAGTCCGCGAGAGGTGGTGACCAGTCCACCAGAGGAGGTGACCAGTCCACCAGAGGAGGTGACCAGTCCACCAGAGGAGGTGACCAGTCCACCAGAGGAGGTGACCAGTCCACCAGAGGAGGTGACCAGTCCATCAGAGGAGGTGACCAGTCCACCAGAGGAGGTGACCAGTCCACCAGAGGAGGTGACCAGTCCACCAGAGGAGGTGACCAGTCCATCAGAGGAGGTGACCAGTCTACCAGAGGAGGTGACCAGTCCGCGAGATATGGTGACCAGTCCATCAGAGGAGCTGACCAGTCCGCGAGAGGTGGTGACCAGTCCATCAGAGGTGGTGACCAGTCCACTAGAGGTGGTGACCAGTCCACTAGAGGTGGTGACCAGTCCGCGAGATGTGGTGACCAGTCCACCAGAGGTGGTGACCAGTCCGCGAGAGGTGGTGACCAGTCCGCGAGAGGTGGTGACCAGTTCGCGAGAGGTGGTGACAAGTCCATCAGAGGTGGTGACCAGTCCATCAGAGGTGGTGACCAGTCCACGAGAGGTGGTGACCAGGCCATCAGAGAAGGTGACCAGTCCATCAGAGGAGGTGACCAGTCCATCAGAGGTGGTGACCAGTCCACCAGTGGTGGTGACCAGTCCATCAGAGGTGGTGACCAGTCCACCAGTGGTGGTGAACAGTCCATCAGAGGTGGTGAACAGTCCATCAGAGGTGGTGACCAGTCCATCAGAGGTGGTGACCAGTCCATCAGAGGTGGTGACCAGTCCACCAGAGGTGGTGACCAGTCCACCAGAGGAGGTGACCAGTCCACCAGAGGAGGTGACCAGTCCACCAGAGGAGGTAACCGGTCCACCAGAGGAGGTGACCGGTCCATCGGAGGAGGTGACCAGTCCATCGGAGGAGGTGACCAGTCCATCGGAGGAGGTGACCAGTCCATCAGAGGTGGTGGCCAGTCTATCAGAGGTCGTGGCCAGTCTACGAGAGGTGGTGACCAGTTCGCCAGAGATTGGGACCTGTGCACCAGAGTTCCTGACCAGTGCTTCAGAGATAAGTCGGCCAGAAATGAGTACCAGTGCTCCAAAGGTTGTGATCAGTCCGCCAGAGGCGTTGGCCAGTGAGTCAGAGCCAATCAACCAACCACAGACGGACAATAAACCACAGACAGAAAATCAGTCAAAGGCAGACAGTCAACCAGAGGCAGACAATCATCCAGAGGCAGACAGTCGGACTGAGGCAGACAATCAGACTAAGGTACATAGTCAGCCAGAGGCAGACAATCAACAAGAGGCAATCCACCAACCAGAGGTAGACAATCGGCCAGATGCAGGCAATCAGCCAGGTACATCTTCAAATACCACATTATTGTGTGAAAGTTCTACTGAAGCGACTGGCAGCTCTCGCGGCTACAATGAACAGGGTACAGTTGGTGCATTGATGACGGTGTCTGGTGCACGTAAGAAAGTCACTTTCGCAAGCGACTGCAGCTCCTCGACCAAGCCCAGATCTTCAACAAAGCGAAAATCCTATGCGGAACGCAAATCCTATGCGAAACGCCGATCGCAGGCCAAGCGCAACGCTAGAGCAAGTGAGAACATTGAGGTAAGTCTATTTTCGTCATTTCTGTTACTTGTATTATTTTCTAATTTTCAGTAGCTAGTTCAGTTGTGTATCCGTTACATGACTTTGCTGAACCACGGCCAGCTCCAGATTTATAAGGCCGTACAGCTCGAACGGGAATTCCCGTTCTTGTGCAAGAATTGAGTACCTCTGCGTCCAGTTTTTATCGAAAAGATGTATGCGCAAATTAAACTACAGTTTCATTAATTTTCGACATATTTTTTTAGAACCATACTATATATTTAACTATTTTTAAGGTAAATAAGTGTGCCGAAAAAATATAATAATAAAGGCTCTTACAGACAAACAACAATGCTTTTGCTACAGTCAGCATAAACATAAACATCAATAACGTTTAGATGAAAACTAAAAGTTGTTCCCGCAAAAGTAAAATATCGGTGCTAACTCTTTGATTCTGAGAGGGTATTGTTGCATTAGAGGAGAGGGGGGGGGGGTGACATTTGTACTTTATCAAATTTAGTGCATAAAAATACTGTCTGTCTGTCTGTCTGTCTGTCTGTCTGTCTGTCTGTCTGTCTGTCTGTCTGTCTGTCTGTCTGTCTGTCTGTCTGTCTGTCTGTCTGTCTGTCTGTCTGTCTGTCTGTCTGTCCGTCTGTCCGTCTGTCTGTCTGTCTGTCTGTCTGTCTGTCTGTCTGTCTGTCTGTCTGTCTGTCTGTCTGTCTGTCTCTGTCTGTCTCTGTCTGTCTGTCTGTCTGTCTCTGTCTGTCTGTCTGTCTGTCTGTCTGTCTGTCTGTCTCTGTCTGTCTCTGTCTGTCTCTGTCTGTCTCTGTCTGTCTCTGTCTGTCTCTGTCTGTCTGTCTCTGTCTGTCTCTGTCTGTCTGTCTCTGTCTGTCTCTGTCTGTCTCTGTCTGTCTGTCTCTGTCTGTCTCTGTCTGTCTGTCTGTCTGTCTCTGTCTGTCTGTCTGTCTGTCTGTCTGTCTGTCTGTCTCTGTCTGTCTCTGTCTGTCTCTGTCTGTCTCTGTCTGTCTCTGTCTGTCTCTGTCTGTCTCTGTCTGTCTGTCTCTGTCTGTCTGTCTGTCTGTCTGTCTGTCTGTCTGTCTGTCTGTCTGTCTGTCTGTCTGTCTGTCTGTCTGTCTGTCTGTCTGTCTGTCTGTCTGTCTGTCTGTGTCTCTGTCTGTCTGTCTCTGTCTGTCTGTCTCTGTCTGTCTCTGTCTGTCTCTGTCTGTCTCTGTCTGTCTGTCTCTGTCTGTCTCTGTCTGTCTGTCTGTCTGTCTGTCTCTGTCTGTCTGTCTGTCTGTCCGCCCGCCCGCCAGCTTGCCCGTTTTTCTGTCTGTCTGTCCGCCCGCCAGCTTGCCCGTTTTTCTGTCTGTCTGTCCGCCCGCCAGCTTGCCCGTTTGTCTGTCTGTCCGCCCGCCAGCATGCCCGTTTGTCTGTCTGTCTGTCCGTCCGTCCGCCCGCTTGCCCGTTTGTCTTGTCTAGTAACGAAAATAATTTTATGGTTGGGGGTTCACACAACATGAGAAAGTGTATTCAAGGGTCGCGGCATTAGGAAGTTGAGAACCACTGGAATAGAACCCATGTCCCATTTTGTCCCTTCAACAAGCCTGTCGTAAAAGGCAACTAATCAGGGTTTTCCTTTAGAAGTCGGAGTGCATCTGTCTGAAAGATATAAGCAGACCTTTTTTTAATAATACAAAAGGTGCAGGTACTCACCACGGTGTCTGTTACAGAACTTAGTAGCTTATCCTTTACAGGACGTTGCAGAACCAACCCCAGCAATTTTTTGACTATTGTGATTTTTGACTTCTCGATGCCACTATCGAAACCAAAGCACGGCACAAAGCCCACAGCTGGGATCGAACCCGGCACCCCGGCATTGCGAAGCGCGTTCGCAACGCCTAAGCCACATACCTTAAGCTTTAAGTCAGTGAACTCGTAGGGGAAGGAAAGAAGTTACTAGTTAGTACGGTACTTACTAACGGCTTCATCGAAGTGGGGTGGTTGCAAGCTATAAGAAAACTAAGCAAAGATATGAAAGCGAGAAGGTACAAAAGGTTCGGAAACCCAAATATTTGTCTGCTTTGGCAAACTACTTATAATAAACTGAGACCCAGCCTAGTGTAGGCATAGCTAATATTGTACGCTAGTTCTTTCTTCCACCCGCTGTTGTTTACCAGTGGTCAGCAGGGCAGAACATCCGGTCCACTGTGGACAATGAAATCAGCTTTCTCTACAGTTGAGATCAGGAAACCTTCCCCTCGGTATATAAACGCTTGCCGTCCTGTGTCCAATGCGCAGATGTTGAATATGAACTAAACAAACCAGGCGATTATATGGATACATGTGCGCTTTTTACGCATTTATTTTGCATTTTATTTGTGGACTCTGAAGTTGAATCATTGCGTTGTATTGGTTCGTCAAGCAGCAACTGCTTCAACTAGGGGTTATCGGTTATCACGCCCCATTTATGAAAATTTCTTTGGATGCGCCCTTAACCCAGCAGTGTTGTCACATCAGCTCAGAACATAATGGAGTTGTCTATTTGTCAGTTACCTCCATCACCCACACAGAACACAGAACAAGTTGCTGCCGTCAATGAAAACACCGATCCTTCATTGATTCGAGCTACAAGTGCAACAAAAAACATCCGTTTTTCGTTGATTCGAGCTACAAGTGCAACTGAAAACAGCCATTCTTCTGTGATTCAAGCTACAAGTGCAACTAAAGACAGCCATTCCTCATCAATTGAACCTACAGTTGTAACTGAAAACAGCAGTTCTTCCTCTACCCAACCTGCAGAGGAACCTGAAAATGACCATTCTTCTACAGTTGATTTGAACAGTTCGAGATCTCGCCAAGAAGCTATCCAGACTTTGTTGGATAGACTGAAAGCTATCATGGTCAGTAACTTGTCACTAGTATTAGCTTCCCCTGCTGTCTTATTTTTTAAGTTATAAGGACAATTTGTCAGCAATATCCTATTCATTTGTTCTAGAGGGTTATGGGGTTTTTTTGTTTAAAAAAATATGAATACCTAAAAATGAGGGTTGATTTTGTGTTATTGTTTGCATACAAATCAGTTGTAAAATGGATGTGCACGTAAAATTGAAGTTCTGAACTGTTTCAGCCCTGGGGACTCAGCATCAGGGGGCCAAGGCCTAATAAAAACAGACAGGAAATCAATGCATCTTGCGTTCTTTGGCCTTCCGGACAGGAAGATATGAAAGTATGATGCATTTCTTGGGATTGAAAGAGTTAAAGAGTAGCAAATTCCAGATAGGAATGAACAGCCAGAACTTTTTGCTAGAGTATACAGCCGGTAAACACTATGAACAAGAAGAAGAAAGTCCCTGAACAAACTAAAACCAGTTGTTGCAACTTCACACGCATACTTTGGCATGTAACTTTTTCCCCAGAGATATCATGACCAGCAGGCGGCCAGAGAAAATGCCCCCAGTTGTCAGACTGGGAAGACCTGGGTTCAGTTTGATTTCAACGTGCCCACGGAACTGGGTGGCCGATTCGTCGGCAAAAAGGGCAAGAAAATCAAACGCATCTTAAAAAAAACTGGAGCAACGGTGGTCTTGGTCACCAACTTCGTCGAGAAGGAATATCAGGTCTGCCAGGTTGTTGGTGAGTACATTCTAGAAGTTACTTAGTAATTACTGACTGAGCATTGATTATTGGTTGAATTTGATTGATTATTGATAAATTGATCATGTTTTCAGCTTGAGAATGGAAGTTGAGGCGGTAACTGTGGTGTTCTGAATGACCGAGAAAATCTTAGCCACACATGTGTATATTGTCATAGCATCAAATTCCCAGAGCTCAACAGGCTAGAGTCAGGTTGTCTTCAAATGGAAGAGGTCACATGTAGTGAGAGAGTCACATGGATTGTACTTGCCTGGGCAATTCAGGTGTATTTGGGAATGAGCAGCCTGATAGACTGGCTGGACTCATTTGATCCCCCTGCCTTAGAATATCCATGACACAAAAATAGTGGTATTCTTTAGTCCATAGATGCTCAGGATGCAGGTTCTGGGCACCATTCGAAACTCAAGGAAGGGAAGGGCGGATGAATATTCAACAAGATAACAGGAACCATCAATGTGCATTCTGTTGAGGAGGGAGAATAAATTGAATCTGAACTACAAGAAACACAAGCTAGCATTAGACGTGGCAGGGGAACAAGAGACACAATTTTCAATATGAGAATCATCCTTGAGAAGTGTAGAGAATATAAGATAGATCTTCACACTTGTTTCATAGGCCTCAGCAAGGCATTTGATTGTGTGCAGCACCATAAACTATGGCATATAATGAGAAGCATAGGATTTCCAAATCATCTGGTGCACTTAATGGAATCTCTTTACTACGAACAACAAGCAAGGATCAGAGTAGCTGGTGAAACATCTGAATGGTTTAAGGGCAGAAAGGAGTGAGACAGGGCTGTATTCTTTCACCCTCCCTCTTTAACATATATGGTGAAAATTTTATGAGAAACGCAGTTAGCGATGAGGCATGTGAGAGCTTTTATCCACTAAAAATTGGAGGTAATCCTATCCCAGAACTCAGATATGCAGACGACACAGTTTTCCTTTCCAACAGTGTACAAGGTTTAGAAAAATTAATTCTGGCGGTCAAAAAACACAGCGAAGAAGTGAATCTGTTTCTGAATTATTTTTTTTTAAACCCAAACATTATGTCCTCAGTAAATACAACACACCAACCACGTATCACAATCGAAAATGAAGAAATAGAAAATGTAACAGGTTTCGAATACTTGAGTTTTTTAGTGAACAACAGTGGCAACTGCTCAAAAGAAGTCAGAAGAAGACTTGCGTTAGCAATGCAGAGATTAAATAGCATGAAGAACCTAAGGCAAAACACTAGTAAATTGGTTTCAGTAAAAATCTTGAGATCATGCATTTTTCCTGTTGCAACCTACGGTTGTGAGTCTTGGACTCTCGCTCAGTCACTGAGGAAAAAGATTGGAGCTTTTGAATTGAAATGTTATAGAAAAATTCTTAGAATACCATGGATCAGGAAGAGGAGAAACATCGACATTCTGAAAGAGTTGAATATCAAGAACTGGCTCATAAATAGCATTCTGTCCCGAAAGCTGAAGTATTTTAGCCACATCAAGCATCATGGTGGCTTGGAAAAGATGGTTATGGAAGGTGCAGTTTGTGGAAAGGGAGGCAGGGGCCAACCACAGTGAAGATGGATACAAGACATTGAAGATGCATTGGAACTGAAAGCCCATGGAGTTGGAAAGCTGGCTAGAGAAAGGGAAACTTTCAGGCGTGCCATGAAGAGAGCGACGTTCTGTAAAGGACTTGCTGATTGATGAGGAGGAGGCAGGCAGAGCTAGCATGGGCTTGTCCTGAATGCTATGAATCTTTACCATGTATGAACTCAGATGATTAATGATTACTGAGCAATGATTATTAACAGATTTGTTCATGCCCTCTAACCCATATCATAAAAGGTGACCAGTTAGGTTCATTTTCTTCACATTTGGAGAGCATCTGCCTGAAAGGTGGGAAACCATCAGTCTGCATACAAAAAATCTTTTCTGTAAAATGAATACAGACAATAAGTTGAAGTTCTGGAACAAAGTCCACAAGTGGACGACTAATTAGAACTTTCTGCTGGAACTTAAACAACCGGTGAATTTTAGGCAAAGGACAACAGAAGAAATGTATGTGAAGTGAGCACTATCATGCCTGCCAAATGGTTGGTGGGTACTTGTACATTGAATGTTGAATTAAGAATCAACATCATAGCCCCCTGGACACTCCTAAAAGCGTTCCGTCCCAATCTTCTGCAGCAAGTGAAGAGTTCCGCTTCTGATTTCACCAGTAACTGTCTCGATTGCATATCCGTCTTGCCCTTTCTTTGAGTGTTGAGTGTTGGCAAGACCCCTTGGTAACTCCATTCTCCTAAGATCTATCTGTACTTTCGCACTGTTCACTCACTCCCAAAGGGCCATTACAACATCTAGCTTGTCATACATCAGTTCACCACCAAATGGTGCAGAACCGGCCAGCATATCTGCCTGCTCATTTCCTCACAAACCGGGTGCTTGTACATGTCAGGAGTCACTAAGTGGGGTCTGTCATCACAGCATTCCACATAAAGGTCATCCTGTATCACCCCGAAACATCCTGGCCAATGGGGCTCTGATGAAGTTGTTAAGGCCTAGCAAGCTGGCAATGGATTTACTATCTCTACAGCTAATACGAGATATAAACAGATTGATCAAACAGCGTTTGACCATGGTAGTGTTAAAGGACTACAAGATCTGATGCTATACCATACAAGGCATATACTAAAAGAGAAGGACATAGAGCAAGAGGTAGACCAATTTACATTTGATTCCTGTGAGTGGTTGTCGTAGGGACCCCAGCTCGCTGGTTTGCCCAGGGGGCCCATTATACTGTTAAGACAGTACAAGATGGGGAAAAAAGGGGCGGGGGGGACCAAATATTTTAACTGCTTAGGGCATCTGGTCAAGATGGCGAGGCAAGGGCATGTTTTTTTTAATTGTTTTGGCCAGCATCTGGGGTCAGTATTGAACATCCTAGAGTGGAAGATGTTAATCTAGTCTGAATGTGATAGTCTAGTTCAAGTGTGACCTTTTAGGAAGTTTGAAAACGCTGACTGGTCCAGCAAATTGACAGTGGCTTACTATGTGCTCGTAGAAAGTGAAGAGATCTCACGAACCAACTAGAATGAAAGGGTGGTTTGTTCCAAAGAGTCTGAATCCAGTCCTTTGTTTAGCATGGCTGATGTTGAACACAAAGTGGGCTGGGCAGACCCACCACAACTCAACAACTAACACTGTTGTTTTTGTCTTCCGGCCTGAATCCAGTCCTTTGTTTAGCATGGCTGATGTTGAACACAGACCAGGTGGTTGGGCAACCAGGCACAAGCAATAACTAACAATGTTGTTTTTAGCCTCTGGTCTGAATCCAGTCTTATGTTTATCATGGCTGATGTTGAACACAGAAAAAGGGGACTGGGCAGACCTGCCACAACTCAAACTAAAACTGTTTTTTTTTTCCCCAGGCAGCAAGGATGAAGTCGATAAAGCTCTGGCCCTTATCCGACAATGGTTTCCTCTTAAACACTACCCCCATTTTACTATGGAACCAGTCGACCAGTACAAGCCTATTGTGTATCAGCTGGAGCCAGTCCTGAGTGCAGGGTTCCTACAGGTTAGTGGTTCTCCTTTCTTTCTCTTATTTCCTTAGCTATTTTGTCCTGTTATTCACTCAACTTCTGAGCAGTTAACACCTCACTCGCCTTCTGATCAGTTCACAGCTCACTCACCTTCTGAGCAGTTAACACCTCACTCACCTTCTGAGCAGTTAACACCTCACTCACCTTCTGATCAGTTAACACCTCACTCACCTTCTGATCAGTTAACACCTCACTCACCTTCTGAGCAGTTAACACCTTACTCGCCTTCTGATCAGTTAACACCTCACTCACCTTCTGAGCAGTTAACACTTCACTCACCTTCTGATCAGTTAACACCTCACTCACCTTCTGATCAGTTAACACCTCACTCACCTTCTGATCAGTTAATACCTCACTCACCTTCTGATCAGTTAATACCTCACTCGCCTTCTGAGCAGTTAACACCTCACTCACCTTCTGATCAGTTAACACCTCACTTGCCTTCTGAGCAGTTAACACCTCACTCACCTTCTGAGCAGTTAACACCTCACTCACCTTCTGATCAGTTAACACCTCACTCACCTTCTGAGCAGTTAACACCTTACTCGCCTTCTGATCAGTTAACACCTCACTCACCTTCTGATCAGTTAACACCTCACTCACCTTCTGATCAGTTAATACCTCACTCACCTTCTGATCAGTTAACACCTCACTCACCTTCTGATCAGTTAACACCTCACTCACCTTCTGATCAGTTAACACCTCACTCACCTTCTGATCAGTTAATACCTCACTCGCCTTCTGATCAGTTCACACCTCACTCGCCTTCTGATCAGTTAACAGCTCACTCGATTTCTGAGCAGTTAACAGCTTTTGGCTCTCATGTGGGTGAAGCAAGTTTGACCCTTGGTAAGGTGACAGTTTTTTTCAGCCCGAAACAAATAAAAACATCCTAGCCTGCACAGTTCATGGCGACAGCACCAGCCATGTGGTCCTAAATTCTCAAGCTTATGACCCCCTGCCTACATCAGCGTAACAAGTGGTAAAGACAGACAGTAGTGACGCTGTTGCAGTATTTATTATTTTCATTTTTGTGTGTGCCTTAATCTGTTATTGTTTCCAGTAACTTCATCTATTAGTTTTCCCATTCCACTTGATACCTGTTTTATTTTGTTTGCCTTATTTGATTTTTCCTTCCTGTCCTTGCTTCCCTCTACTGTATTTGCCTGTCTGCGTTTCTATCTCTGCTATCTTTGTTTTTTTCTCCACCTATCATTGTTTGACATCACCCTTCATCTGTAGGCAGTGATTCCAACAACCATCTTATCTATAGGACCAATCTAAAGACCAGTTTTTGGCCAATTCTTTGCTGCCAGTGTCAAACATGGACCCTTTTTTTTCTTAGCAATCACAAGCTGTAAACTCCAGTGGAAAGTTCTGGTAGTTAGTCCTTTTCTGGACTTTGGTCTTATTCTAACACTTGAGTTTTTTTATGACATTTGGTTTAGACATTTGGTTTAGGCATGTGGTTTAGACATGTGGTTTAAACATGTCTTTTAGAAATCTCATTAAGACATCTCATTTAGACATGTGGTTTAGATATTTGGTTTAGACATCTCAATTAGATATGTGGTTTAGACATGTGGTTTAGACATTTGGTTTAGACATGTTGTTTAAAAATCGGGTTTAGAAATGTGGTTCAGACATTTGGTTTAGACATCTCATTTAGATATCTGGTGTAGACATGTTGTTTAGACATGTGGTTTAGACATGTGGTTTAGACATGTGGTTTAGACATGTGGTTTAGACATGTGGTTTAGACATCTGGTTTAGACATCTGGTTTAGACATCTGGTTTAGACATCTGGTTTAGACATCCGGTTTAGACATCCGGTTTAGACATTTGGTTTAGAAATCTGGTTCAGACATTTAATTTAGACATATCATTTAGATATCTGGTGTAGACATGTGGTTTAGACATCTCATTTAGTCATCTCATTTAGACATCTCATTTAGACATCTCATTTAGATATGTGGTTTAGACATCTCATTTAGACATCTCATTTAGACATCTCATTTAGACATCTCATTTAGACATCTCATTTAGACATCTCATTTAGACATCTCATTTAGACATCTCATTGAGACATCTCATTGAGACATCTCATTGAGACATCTCATTGAGACATCTCATTGAGACATCTCATTGAGACATCTCATTGAGACATCTCGTTTAGACATCTGGTGTAGACATCTGGTGGTAGACATCTGGTGGTAGACATCTGGTGGTAGACATCTGGTGGTAGACATCTGGTGGTAGACATCTGGTGGTAGACATCTGGTGGTAGACATCTGGTGGTAGACATCTGGTGGTAGACATCTGGTGGTAGACATCTGGTGGTAGACATCTGGTGGTAGACATCTGGTGGTAGACATCTGGTGGTAGACATCTGGTGGTAGACATCTGGTGGTAGACATCTGGTGGTAGACATCTGGTGGTAGACATCTGGTGGTAGACATCTGGTGGTAGACATCTGGTGGTAGACATCTGGTGGTAGACATCTGGTGGTAGACATCTGGTGGTAGACATCTGGTGGTAGACATCTGGTGGTAGACATCTGGTGGTAGACATCTGGTGGTAGACATCTGGTGGTAGACATCTGGCTTACTTGTGTACAAACTGCAGTTTCCTCATCTCTCAGGCAGCTGCACTCTGACTGGTGGAAACAACCTGAATTAGTTATTTTTGTCTGCGTGCTTGGTACTCACTGCAGTGTCTGTTACAGTAGTGCTGAATCAATGATGCCTACATGACTAATGGCAACCTCTGTGGCTTAGGTGTTGCGAGTCCTACTCGTAATTCCAATGTACCGTGGTCGGAACCCACTGCTGGCTGCATGGATTTTTATCATGGCATGTGCAGTCGCAGGTCGAACCCAGCCTAAAGTGGGTACAAGGATGGCTGTTCTGGGAAAGTAAGGCGGCCGGAGGAATGCTGACCACATTACCTACCTAGTGCTAGTTGGTCTGAAAAAATATGGGTACTCTTCCCATATGTCCGATGGGCCTAATACCACTGCATAAGGCGAGAAAAGGAAGAAAAAAAAAGGTCATGCAAATAAGCAAGATTGTGTACACGCAAAACTTAGAGAAGACTAAGATCGGTCCAGATGTCGAACATCCAGAACTTTCTGCCAGATTTTGCAGTCATTGAATGCATGGGAGGAGGAGGAGGAGAAAAGAAGTGACTAGTTAGTTGGGTACCTGTTAACGTCTACATCGAAATGAGGTGGCTCTAGTAAAGCTATGAAAGTCTAAGCAAAGGTAGGGAAGAGAAAAGATACAAAAGGGTAGGGAAAACAAAATATATGTCTGCTTTGCCAAACCACTTACAATAAACCAACAGAGACCCAGGCTAGTTAGGTAGGTGCTTTATGGGGAGGAGGGCAGTGGGGTCAGTTCTTTCCCCCCTCCAAAATGGCACCCCTAACCCAACAAGGAAAAATCTTATTAGAACTAGTGAGTGCAAAATCATAACAGTGCTTACTCAGAGTTCCTTGGAGAGATGTTGGAATAACAAGAAAAGATACAATTACAAATGAAGAAATTAGAAATAAACATCTTTTAAAAATCAACACTGATTCAATCCTCCCTTTAAAGCAACTTATAAATATCACCTCGTACAGCATGCTTGTCAGGGGTAGTCGATTACCCCCCCCCCCCTCCACACCGATAATGGGGGCCCTAGTAACAGCAAGGGGAAATGTAAGTAAACGTCCTTTTTGCATGCCAGTAGCACATCAAGCTAGATAAATAGTTAATACAAGGTCCGACAATTAAGTAATGAGACTGATTTTATTATGGCCAAGACAAAAATGCCACCTATGAAGCAAAGCATGGAATTTAAAGAGGCAACAATCATCTATGAGCTGACAACTTTTCATCGCCGCATGATAAGCAAACAACAAACAAGCCGCCTTTTTGTTGAGTCAGAGGTGCATTGTTACGTTATCAGCATGGAGCAAAGAGCTAACATTAAATTCTTTGTAAAACTCAGAAAAAGCACTATTGAAACAGTTTACTAATGAAACAAGTTTATGGGGATAATTGTTGATCTCGTGCAGAAATTTGCATAAATTAATGATTGAGAAGTGGTGTGGAAAGGAATACTAATACACCTAGACCTGGAGGCCAAATTTCTGTTTGTAATATTTATCTCATTGAAAAAGTCAGAGAAGGAGGCAAGAAGATCGTTTTACTGTTAAGATGGTGGCAGATGAATCTGGTGTTAATAGAGGGACCATAACATTTTAATGCAAGATTTTGGCAAGTAAAAAGTTGCTTGCCGATTTGTACCACATTCTTTCTCTGATGACCAAAAATGTCAGCGGGTTAAGTACCCAAGAGATATCATCAAAACAAGAATTTTTGGCACCAAAACAAGTGTGTTATCAGCCTTCCACCCTATTCGCCAGATTTTTCTCCCTGTGATTATTTTCTATTCCCAAAATTAAAGTTACGATTGAAAGGACGCTTATTTAACAATATTGATAACATCCAATGGGTCGTAACATCGACTTTAAGGGCCATAACAACAGAAGAACTACAGAAGTCGTTCCAGTGTTTGTTAGATCGTGCTACTTGGTGTATCAATGCACAAGGGGCTTACTTTGAATCTGATACAGGTTATATCTTCAACTGTTGATTGTTTAAATTGTTATGGAATTAGTCTCATTACTTAATTGCCAGACCTTGTAATTGGACCTTGGTGGATATGGCCAACATCATGCCTTTACTTTCCAGGACTTTACCTGGCACCCATTTAAGGCTAGGTCATTATGAAAAAACCTGGCTCCATGTAGATTTGAACCCATGACCTCTGGATCCACAGGCAAGTATCTAGCCACTACATCATGGCAGCTCCCACATTGGACAGAGGGCAAAGGTAATACAAGTCCTGGAAATCCCCCACACATGAAGCACTTTAATGGACACTTTTCTCAAATGATTTTACTGTGACACTGCAAGATACAAGAGCACCATGAATAGATTAGTATCAAAGAAGGTTGTTCTTGTTCAACTTTAAATGACCCTGTTTCACTGACAATTGCAGATGTCCCTGCCCAGAGGTGTTACGCTGGACGTGTATGTGTCCGCTGTGGTTGACGCTGGCCATGTGTTTGTTCAGCAGCCTAGTCACCCAATTTACATAACTCTGTTTGATCTGAATGAGTTGCTCCAGCTTGAATATGGTCAAGAGCCTGACATTCCATGTTTACCTCGGCCTGTTAAAGGTAAGTTCCCTATGTATTTACATCTGTCGAAATTAGGTTCCCTGTGTACTTGTATTTACACCTGAAGAATGTTAGTTTTCTGTGTATTTATTCTTGAGTGTAAGTTCTTTGTGTATTTACACCTGATGAATGTAAGTTCCCTCTGTATTTACACATGTTGAATGTAAGTTCCCTCTGTATTTACACCTGATGAATGTAAGTTCCCTCTGTATTTAAACATGTTGAATGTAAGTTCCCTCTGTATTTACACCTGATGAGCATAAGTTCCTTGTATGTTTACACCTGTTAAATGTAAGTTCCCCATGTATTTTCACTTGTTGCATGTAAATTCCTGAGAGTGGCACATGTTATATGAGTGAGGACAGACAATAGTTGGTGTTGTAGACAGCATATGAGTAATGACAGACAATAGTTGATGTGGCAGACAGTATATGAGTAAGGACTGACAATATTTAGTGTGACAGACCTTATATGAGTGAGGATAGACAATAGTTGATGTGGCAGACAGTATATGAGTGAGGACAGACAATAGTTGGTGTGACAGACAGTATATGAGTGAGGACAGACAATAGTTGGTGTGACAGACAGTATATGAGTAAAGACTGACTATTTGGTGTGACAGACAGTATATGAGTGAGGACAGACAATAGTTGGTGTGACAGACAGTATATGAGTGAGGACAGACAATAGTTGATGTGGCAGACAGTATATGAGTGAGGACAGACAATAGTTGGTGTGACAGACAGTATATGAGTGAGGACAGACAATAGTTGGTGTGACAGACAGTATATGAGTGAGGATAGACAATAGTTGATGTGACAGACAGTATATGAGTGACGACAGACAATAACTGGTGTGACAGACAGTATATGAGTGAGGATAGACAATAGTTGGTGTGACAGACAGTATATGAGTGAGGACAGACAATAGTTGGTGTGACAGACAGTATATGAGTGAGGACAGACAATAGTTGGTGTGACAGACTGTATATGAGTAAAGACTGACTATTTGGTGTGACAGACAGTATATGATTGAGGACAGACAATAGTTGATGTGGCAGACAGTATATGAGTGAGGACAGACAATAGTTGGTGTGACAGACAGTATTTGAGTGAGGATTGACAATATTTTGTGTGACAGACAGACATATGAGTGAGAATAGACAGTAGTTGATGTGGCAGACAGTATATGAGTGAGAATAGACAGTAGTTGATGTGGCAGACAGTATATGAGTGAGGATAGACAATAGTTGGTGTGACAGACATTATTGGAGTGAGGACTGACAATATTTTGTGACAGACAGACATATGAGTGAGAATAGACAGTAGTTGATGTGGCAGACAGTATATGAGTGAGAATAGACAGTAGTTGATGTGGCAGACAGTATATGAGTGAGGATAGACAATAGTTGATGTGGCAGATTAGGGACTGACAATACTTTTCAGTAACCCTGTCAAAAATATTGTTTGCAGGCTTAGTTATGAGACTGAGTACCTTAGAGGTTAGTGACAGTTTTAAAAAAATTCCATGATCCGTTATTATTACTAGTGTTTGATTCCCTCGGAGCATGGTTTATTTTTAAAAGTAGGATCTCATGGTTTTCACAGTGAGGCCATATTATGTGATATAATAGAACTTCAAGAGTGTACCTGGATTTAAATTTTCAGTATACGAGGTCAGGCATAAGAATTTGTGTGTGCGCACTCCCTAAAATACGAGGCGACATCCAGAGTGCAGGCAGAAAAGAAAAGCACTATCTGTGTTGTCTAACAGGATCTCAATAACTTAATGCATTAAGTCATGTCAGTTTGTTGAAGAAGGACTTGAACCAGTCAGCAAGGCACTTGGTGATGATGATAGATAGTAGCATCATGCTGGACATAAGCCCATTTTCTGCTGCCGCACAAAAAATAAAAAAAGCAGGGCCACCCATTTTCCCCTTTCATGAAATGAAAATTGCCATTTTGAAACTTACTTACTTAGTCGCTCCTCTTCTACTTTGGGGTGTAGAGGTTTGCAAGAGAGAGAGATCGGCAGCCATCTCTATCAGCAGTTTTCTTTCTGGCTTTGTTCCATTTCAGTCCTTTGTCAGTTAGGGACTGTCGGATGTTGTCTTCCCAGCGTACTCTGGGTCGTCCTAGAGGTCTGGTTCCCTGGTTCTTAGCCTCCCATGCCTGCCATGGTGGCTGATTTTCTCCCATTCTGCATACATGTTTAAACCATCGAAACTGAGTGATCCACTCGGGTTTGTAAGGACTGGGTATGGAGATCTTGACGTATTGTCTGATAGCGGACTTTTATCTAATTTCTGAGGCCATTTTGAAACTAAGAGTAATTTTTATCTGGCAATGCCGCATTGGTGTAAGCTGCTGTGGTGTAGCACTAGACACTCAACCTGCAGCTCCGAAGTTTGTGGTTTCAGGTCCTGGGGAAGCCAGAATTTAAAAATTTTTTTAAAAACTCTTTGAGTCCCAAGAAATGCATCATATAGGTTCATAGGTTCCTTCATAGAGACACAATAGACGCAAGATGTGCCGATTTTACATCTCTTTTGAGTACCCCTTGGGCCTCTGATGCAAAACCTTTTGGGACTCAGAGTTAAATTAATTTTTGCTTCTAGGTCACTGTAACCTAAAATGGGTGTCAGATAAACTCCTAGGAAGTAAATGCAGCCGGCATCATGCTGACCACATCACTACCAGTGCCGCTTGGTCTTTAAAATATAGGTCTAGACCTATTTGCCCAGTAAGGGCGCAGAGAAGGGTCTTTTACTTACTTTTGTATTAATACACTGAATACGTGGAAACTAGTATTTATTTATGTAGTATTTACACTTTCACAGCGAAGGTCATGTGTGTGTGTGAAAAGAATGGCCACTGGTACCGGGCGATGGTAATGACTCCTGAGAACCAATATGGAGATGTGTATGTGAAATTTGTTGACTACGGAGGATACGCTGTGAAGTCAGTGAAATCCCTTAAAAAAGTCAGGTGAGATCAAGAATGAGATTTCTTTCTTCCTTTAATTTCTGTTGAGAAAACAAAAAAATGTTAAGTTTTGAAACTGTCAGAAAATTCTCATTCCATGCCCAGTTAGTTACCACGGGCTCATCCATTCTGGCCTTCATTATCTTCTTGACATTAACAGCCTGTGAACTCTGATTTAGTACATTTTACCACACTAGGACATCACACAAGCGATGAGGATCCCCTGTGGAGAGGTCCTGGAAACGCGTTCAGGAATTAGGCCATATTTATGGCTGGGCTATATTGCAGCCCCTGGCAAAAGCCAGGGTGGGACTTCAAAATAACGAATCCCCCACAAGGGAATGACGAATAAATAGTATTTGTAAACTTTTATAGAAAGTTCTGGTTGTTCATCCATTTCTAGACTTGTCTTTTTCCAAAACTTGAATTTTGCATGCATATCCATTTGACACACCATGACAGTAAGAAAGTTGGAGGGCAGGAGAGGCAGAGGGAGACTGAGAGAACAGATGCTGGACAGTTTAACATCATGGAGGATCATCTGTGCCAGAGTTGATTAAAAGTACACAACAAAGAAGGTTGTGGATAGACCAACGCCACACGGTATGGACTTTAAGAAGAAGAAAAAAGAATCCATTTTACAAATCGGCTTATTTGTATGCAGACAGCTGGTTCCGTGCCTCTCAGGCAGATGCACTCTGACTTCGAAGAAAGCTCCAATTAGTTGACTCTTACGACAAGCTTTTTTATTTTATTTTGGGTAGGCAGTGGGTCTATTCTTGTTTCCCCCACAATGGGGCACTGGAACCCACATGACGAGATTACTGATTTCAGTATTGACATCATAGTACACCAGGCCCCATAGCAAATGAGTCCTGCCGCAGATATCTGTAGGTGTACTTGCTAATGTTCCCATATAGCACACTGATTACACACATTATTCTCTTTCTCTCACACGTCAATCATTTCCAAATCCACTCCTAATTCCATGTTCACTAATTTTCACAAATGATATTTCTTCTGATTGATTGTGTCAAATAGTGGCTGGTATGGATCTTTTCATTCACTTCTTTTACCGCTGCACCCTTCAGTTTATGAGTGCAGTTTTTACGGAGATCCCTGGGCATCATCGCCGGAGCTACAGAGTTCATGCTCAGTGGTATGCTTTGGCAGGCAGCTAACCGTTCTGCAGAGAGAGACCCAGCGATGTGAGATAAAACCCGGTGCAATGAAGTCGATCCTCTCGACTTTTAACTTTTAACTTTTCGCTTTGATTACTGATTTAAGAGTCATCATCGTATGACACTTGGCATTCCCACAGTCTCTCCATCTCCCACAGCTAATGTCTTACCGTGTAAATACCAACAGTTCTTGTAGCACATTGATGATACACACATCACTCTCATCCTCTCATACACCCATCCTCATCAGATCCACACCTAATTCCTCGTTCACACATATTGCACACATGTTCTCATTAACCTCGTGTCTTCTGTCAGCCTTCATTCATAAATGGTCTTCACAATGTCTGCTTTGTCCAGTAATGAGTTTTCCTATAGCTTTCACTTTTGTAGCCACAAAATCTGTTCTTTCATTTCCTCAGTATCCTTCATACAATGGGTGTGAAAAATTAATAGAAATATCTATTTTTATCTTGTCATTTGCAAAGATCTTTACAGTCAACTTTCACATATTTTTGTAACAAAGATATCAAGTCTGGGACAAACATACATATATGTATAGATAACTATCTACTATGTAGTCCTCACAGAACATGTCTGGGACAAACAAACATATACTTATAGGTAACTGCCTATGATGTAGTTCTTACAGAACATGTCTGGGACAAGTCTGGGACAAATAAACATATACGTATAGATAACTGTCTACCATGTAGTCCTTACAGAACATATCTGGGACAAATAAACATGTACGTATAGATCACTGTCTACCATGTAGTCCTTACAGAACATATCTGGGACAAACAAATATATACTCATAGGTAACTGTCTATGATGTAGTCCTTACATAACATGTCTGGGACAAGTCTGGGACAAATAAACATATACGTATAGATAACTGTCTACCATGTAGTCCTTACAGAACATGTCTTTATAGATAACTGTCTACCATGTAATAGAACATGTACACAAACATATATGTATAGATAACTGTCTACCATGTAGTCCTTACAGAACATGTCTGGGACAAATAAACATATACATATAGATAACTGTCTACCATGTAGTCCTCATAGAACATGTCTAGGACAAACATATATGTATAGATAACTGTCTACCATGTAGTCCTTACAGAACATGTCTGGGACAAATAAACATATACATATAGATAACCGTCTATCATGTAGTCCTTACAGAACATGTCTGTGACAAATAAACATATACTTATAGATAACTGTCTACTTCCTAGTCCTTACAGAACTTGTCTGTGTTTTTAAGTGACTCGTGCATGTGCGCAGGGGTGGGTGGGTTTGTTTGTTTGTGTGTGTGTGTGTGGGGGGGGGGGGGGGGGAACAGAAAAAAATATGATTTTAAAGGAAGGTGACATTCGCCTCTTTCCACAGACATGATATCACATTTGTTCCCATGCATGCAGTGGAGTGCCGCATGGCTAATATTGTCCCCAACCAAAGTGAGTTTCCCTGTGTCTTTTTGTTTGTTTGTCTGCTGTGCTAAATCAGTGGTTTTTAACTGGGAAGAGGGTGGGGGGGGGGGGGGGGAGGTCTCAATGTTCCCTGTCTCTGGGCTAATTGTTGCTTCCAAAACTGTGTCCAAGGAACTGGAAATTATGCCAGGCCAGCCTTATGATTAGCTGGTCGAGCTGTGAGTCTAGTTTCCTTCAATCTCTGGTTTCCTTCAATCTCTGCTGGAGTTTCCGCAACGATTTGAGGTTCTCAATTGTCTCAGATGCCACTAATATATCATCCATAAAATTGATGATAGAAGGGTCTTTCTGAGGATCAGGGAGCAGCCTCATCATACCCCAGAGGCATTTGAGAGCCCAAAAGGAAGGACATTAAATTCATAACGAGACTCAGAAGTTCTAAGTCAGAGAAACTTATGACACTCACAAATTCTCTCTTCACAGGTATTTGATAATAACCCTTGCTCATGTCAATTTTATTAAAAAAAAAAAAAAAACATGGGCCTCATTGAGCTGGGCAAAAAGTTGACCCGGATCTGAAAGGGGTTCAGGAAGAAATTCCGTTACCTGGTTCAGCTGCCTATAATCAGTATACAGTCAGTGCTCACCTGAAGGCTTCCTTTATAGAACATTTGCACTAAAAAGGGACTCTGAGGGGGAGATCACACCTTCCTTCAATAAATAATAATTTTCCTTTCTCACTGATTCCTTCTTGGAGGAAATACACTTGCTTGTGAGTGCATTCCCAAGTTACCTCACTGCCAATAGACACTTATGGAGGAATAGTCTATATTTGAATACAGATCAATTTGCAAAGAGGTGTACAGCTTGTGGATGGAACTACTATCAAAGAGGTGTTTATGCTGGCTACTTAACACTGTCTCTGATAGTTCAGTTGTTGGCTTTCCCAAGGCATCTCTATCTCTGGTGGTTCAGTTGCTGACTTTCCTGAGGCATCTCTGTCTCTGATGGTTCAGTTGTTGACTTTCCTGAGGCATCTCTATCTCTGATGGTTCAGTTGTTGACTTTCCTGAGGCATCTCTATCTCTGATGGTTCAGTTGTTGACTTTCCTGAGGCATCTCTGATTGTTGAGATGTTGACTTTCCTGAGGCATCTGTCTCTGGTGGTTGAGTTGACTTTCCTGAGGCATCTGTCTCTGGTGGTTGAGTTGACTTTCCTGAGGCATCTGTCTCTGGTGGTTGAAGTTGACTTTCCTGAGGCATCTTATCTCACTGGTTTAATTTATATGTGTGAGTTTATGAGAATGTCTAAGATTTGCACCGGTAACACACAATTGTTAGGGATTGTTCATTTAGCATTTTCTACAGTCACACAGTATATTGGCACTGATTTCATATTCACACACCTAACCTTGACCTGGATTATTTCAGATGAGCAGTTCTTCAGCCAGGCAGCCAATGAGGCCTTGACCCAGATGTGCCTGGGTAAAATGTTACAGTGTCAAGTGGTTCAGGAGGTAGATGACACTCCCAGCATATACCTGTATGCTGTAGATTGGATAAACAAAAGTGTGAGCACTCCCTAGTGTCATGCAGTCAGTACATTAGATGCCATGCCACGCTTATCATGTCATACCATAATCATATGTTATATTTTACCTCACATGAAGCAGAATCTTTTCCATGTTCACCAGCTGTAAACTGCAGTGGAAAGTTCTGGTTGTTTGTTCACTTCTGCACTTTGGTTTTGTTCCAGAACTTGAGTTTTGTGTGCACAACTGTTTTGCAAGTCCAATTTTTTTGTTTGTGCACATTCAGTTCCTCGCCTCAGGCAGACACACTCTGTCTTTGAAGAAAGCTAACTGATTAGTTACCTTTTTGAAAAAAAAAAATGCCTGTTTCTATTCTTTCTTCCCCTAAATGGGGCCAGAGAGCCCGCAAAACACCTCACCTGCCATACTATACCTTACCTGCCATACTATTCCTCACCTGCCATACTGAACTGCTATACTGTACCTCATCTGCCATACTGTACCACACCTGTCTTATTGTGCCTCACCTGTCCTACTGTATACCTCACCTGTCCTACTGTACCTCACCTGTCTTAACTGTGCCTCACCTGTCTTAATGTGCCTCACCTGTCTCCCTGTGCCTCACCTGTATGACTGTGCCTCACCTGTATGACTGTGCCTCCCCTGTCTGACTGTGCCTCACCTGTCTTCCTGTGCCTCACCTGTCTTCCTGTGCCTCACCTGTCTTCCTGTGCCTCACCTGTCTTCCTGTGCCTCACCTGTCTTCCTGTGCCTCACCTGTCTTCCTGTGCCTCACCTGTCTTCCTGTGCCTCACCTGTCATACTGGTACCTCACCTGTCATACTGGTACCTCACCTGTCATACTGGTACCTCACCTGTCATACTGGTACCTCACCTGTCATACTGGTACCTCACCTGTCATACTGGTACCTCACCTGTCATACTGGTACCTCAGCTGTCATACTGGTACCTCAGCTGTCATACTGGTACCTCAGCTGTTAAACTTTTACCTCAGCTGTTAAACTTTTACCTCAGCTGTTAAACTTTTACCTCAGCTGTTAAACTTTTACCTCAGCTGTTATACTTTTACCTCACCTGTCATACTTTTACCTCACCTGTCATACTGGTACCTCACCTGTCATACTGGTACCTCACCTGTCATACTGGTACCTCACCTGTCATACTGGTACCTCACCTGTCATACTGGTACCCCACCTGTCATACTGCTACCTCACCTGTCATACTGCTACCTCACCTGTCATACTGCTACCTCACCTGTCATACTGCTACCTCACCTGTCATACTGGTACCTCACCTGTCATACTGGTACCTCACCTGTCACACTGCTACCTCACCTGTCACACTGCTACCTCACCTGTCACACTGCTACCTCACCTGTCATACTGTTACCTCACCTGTCATACTGTTACCTCACCTGTCATACTGTTGCCTCACCTGTCATACTTTTGCCTCACCTGTCATACTTTTGCCTCACCTGTCATACTTTTACCTCACCTGTCATACTTTTACCTCACCTGTCATTTTGTACCTCACCTGTCATACTTTTACCTCACCTGTCATACAATACCTAAGCTTTCATACTGTACCTCATACTGTGTTGAAACATACTATGCTATATGTACACATGGCATCACAATTGTTTTGAGACAAATTATGGTGTGCTTACATATAACATAATCAGGTCCGTGTTCTGAAAAACTGAGCTGTATGTACACTTGACATAATCATGCTTATGTCCTTTCAGGCTACGATGATTAACAAGGCTCTGGCAGACACACAGCTGGTACAGTGGATTTGAATCTTCCAGCTTCCCCCTGTCCTTTCTGGTGTTTTTCATATGAGCTGGTACAATAGTGTGTGACTTTGCTTTGATAATTAACATTATTTTCCTGAATGAAATGCAGGTACAGCTAGAATGCCTATAAAAATAGTCTGTGAGTGATGAGTTTTATATGTATGATGTCTGGGATGATAAGTTTACCTACAAATGAATGATGAGTTGTATATAAACAGTGACTGTACTGATGGGTTGCCTATTAACTTGAGTTGTCTTTTGATGATGTCTAAGAATAATGAGTCTGAATAGTGAATTGTATATGAGCAACATGCCTTTGAATGATGAGTTTATGAATGATGAGTCTTTGAACAACATACAGAAATGTCGCAGTGAGTCTATGAATACTTCCTGTTTGCGTTCACCAGCTGTAAACTCCAGCGGAAAGTTCTGATCGTTTGTCAACATCTGGACTTTAGTTTTATTCCAGGACTTGAGTTTTTTGGGTGTGCACATCTATTTTACAAAGCAGGCTTATTTTCATGCAGACTGTTGGTTCCTTGCCTCTTAAGCAGATTCACTCTGTCTTAGAAGGAAACCAACACGACTCCTATGAAATGCTTGTTCGGGAGGCAGTGGGTCTATTCTTGTTTTCCCAATAATGGGGCCCTGGAACCCACACGAGAGGCTATGAATAAAAAATCTATGAACAGTGAGTTGTCTGAGCAATGATTCTATGAACAATGAGTTGTCTGAGCAATGATTCTATGAACAGTGAGTTGTCTGAGCAATGATTCAATGAACGAGTTGTCTGAGCAATGATTCTATGAACAGTGAGTTGTCTGAGCAATGATTCTATGAACAGTGAGTTGTCTGAGCAATGATTCTATGAACAATGAGTTGTCTGAGCAATGATTCTATGAACAATGAGTTGTCTGAGCAATGATTCTATGAACAATGAGTTGTCTGAGCAATGATTCTATGAACAGCGAGTTGTCTGAGCAATGATTCTATGAACAATGAGTTGTCTGAGCAATGATTCTATGAACAGTGAGTTGCCTGAAAATGATTCTATGGACAGTGAGTTGCCTGAACAATGATTCTATGGACAGTGAGTTGTCTGAGCAATGATTCTATGAACAATTTGTCTGAGCAATGATTCTATGAACAATTTGTCTGAGCAATGATTCTATGAACAATGAGTTGTCTGAGCAATAAGTCTATGAACAGTGAGTTGTCTGAGCAATGATTCTATGAAACAAACAGTTGTCTGAGCAATGATTCTATGAACAGTGAGTTGTCTGAGCAATGATTCTATGAACAATGAGTTGTCTGAGCAATGATTTTATGAACAGTGAGTTGTCTGAGCAATAATTATATGAACAATTAGTTGTCTGAGCAATGATTCTATGAACAATGAGTTGTCTGAGCAATGATTCTATGAACAGTGAGTTGTCTGAGCAATAAGTCTATGAACAGTGAGTTGTCTGAGCAATAAGTTTATGAACAGTGAGTTGTCTGAGCAATAAGTCTATGAACAGTGAGTTGTCTGAGCAGTGAGTCTATGAACAGTGAGTTGTCTGAGCAATGAGTCTATGAACAGTGAGTTGTCTGAGCAATAATTCTATGAACACTGAGTTGTCTGAGCAATAATTCTATGAACAATGAGTTGTCTGAGCAATGATTCTATGAACAATGAGTTTTCTGAGCAATGATTCTGTGAACAGTGAGTTGTCTGAGCAATGATTCTGTGAACAGTGAGTTGTCTGAGCAATAAGTCTATGAACAGTGAGTTGTCTGAGCAATGATTCTATGAACAGTGAGTTGTCTGAGCAATGATTCTATGGACAGTGAGTTGTCTGAGCAATGATTCTATGGACAGTGAGTTGTCTGAGCAATGATTCTATGAACAATGAGTTGTCTGAGCAATGATTCTATGAACAATGAGTTGTCTGAGTGATGGTTCTGTGAGCAGTGAGTTGTCTGAGCCATGAGTCTATGAACAATGAGTTGTCTACTACTACTGAGTTGTCCATGGATTTCTTCTTATCACTTACTGGTTAACCTCAGGGAAAAGTTTTGGTTGTCCAGTTCTGGATTTAAGTCTTGTTCCAGAATTTGGGTGTTGGGTGCACATCTAGCTTACAGATCTGGCTTATTTGTATGAAGACTGCTGGTTCCTTGCCTCTCAGGCAGATGCATGCCTGCTTTGAAGTAAACACCTATTTAGTCAACCATTATGATATGCTTGTCTGGGATGCAGTGTGTCTGTTCCTATTTTTTCTTATAGTGGGGTCCCAGCGAGATGAATGATAAGTCTGTGAATGACAAGTGGAATGTCCTGGTGAGTCTGTGCATAATGAGTCTATGAACAATGAATTGTCTATGAGCAGTGAGTTATCCATTCACAAGTTGTCTATGAATGATGAAATATGTATGAATGAGTTTGTATTGTAAATTTTCAGTTGAATATAAACAGTAAATAATCTATATAGCTCAAAATGTCTGTGAATCTTGAATTGTCAGTGCAGGATTGATTATAGGTGAATGAGTTTTATAAACATGAATGATGAGTTTTCTGTGAATGATGAATTGTATGCAAACAGAATTGTCTATGAACCTTGAATGACCCTTGAAAGAACCCTAAATAATGTTTGATGAGTTGCTTGTAAATTATAAATTGTTTCTGAAGTTGTCTGTAAATGATAAACTGTATAAAAACAGTAAATTATCTGTAAATAAGAAATGTCTGTGAAAACTGAAATCGTCTGTAAACATTGAATTGCCTATGTTTAATGAGTAATCTGCAAATGATGAGTTGCATATAAACAGTAAATTGTTTATAGAATTGCCTGTCAGCCTTGAATCAAAGCAATGTTTTGCCTGTTCTGAAATGTTTAAAAAAAAAAAAAAAAAAAAAAAAAAGAATCCATGGATTGGTTCTGGGGCCCCATTGGTGTGGGTAAAAATAATAGACCCACCCACTGCACCCCTAACACACATGTCATAGAAATCAATAATTAGGGGTGTTTCCATTTAAGTTAAAATGCATCTGCCTGAGAGGCAAAGAACTAACAGTCTGCATACAAATAAGCCATATCTGTAACATGGATGCGCATGCAAAACTACTTCTGTAGCAAGACTAAAGTCCAGAAGCAGATGAACAACCAGAAATGTCCACCGAAGTTCAGTTGTTGACTGCAAAGGAGAGGAAGAATAAAGAAGACACAAACGAAAATTGCATAATTTATTGACTAGCAAAAGACAGTGACATCCTTTGTAAAGATCCTTCAATGTGGGAAATGATCCAGGCATACAGCAAAGACCTACAGCCTTACTATACAGTCACTACAACATTCCCAGGCATAGACAGAAAGGCTGAAGAATGTGACCTAGTACTGTGTCCTGATGGGCTCTGTGCTTTCAGGCTGTCTTCAGCTGTGTCCTGATGGGCTGTGTGCTTTCAGGCTGTCTGTCTTCAGCTGTGTCCTGATGGGCTGTGTGCTTTCCGGCTATCTTCAGCTGTGTCCTGATGGGCTGTGTGCTTTCCGGCTATCTTCAGCTGTGTCCTGATGGGCTGTATGTTTGCAGGCTGTCTTCAGCTGTGTCCTGATGGGCTGTGTACTTTCAGGCTGTCTTCAGCTGTGTCCTTATGGGCTGTGTGCTTTCAGGCTATCTTCAGCTGTGTCCTGATGGGCTGTATGTTTGCAGGTTGTCTTCAGCTGTGTCCAGATGGGCTGTGTGCTTTCTGGCTGTCTTTGGCTATGGGCTGTATGCTTTCTGGCTGTCTTCAGCCATGTCCTGACGGGCTGTATGTTTGCAGGCTGTCTTTAGCTGTGTCCTGATGGGCTGTGTGCTTTCAGGCTGTCTGTCTTCAGCTGTGTCCTGATGGGCTGTGTGCTTTCAGGCTGTCTTCAGCTGTGTCCTGATGGGCTGTGTGCTTTCCGGCTATCTTCAGCTGTGTCCTGATGGGCTGTATGTTTGCAGGCTGTCTTCAGCTGTCTCCTGATGGGCTGTGTGTTTTCTGGCTATCTTCGGCTGTGTCCTGATGGGCTGTGTGCTTTCAGGCTATCTTTGGCTGTGTCCTGATGGGCTGTATGTTTGCAGGCTGTCTTCAGCTGTGTCCTGATGGGCTGTGTACTTTCAGGCTGTCTTCAGCTGTGTCCTTATGGGCTGTGTGCTTTCAGGCTATCTTCAGCTGTGTCCTGATGGGCTGTATGTTTGCAGGTTGTCTTCAGCTGTGTCCAGATGGGCTGTGTGCTTTCTGGCTGTCTTTGGCTATGGGCTGTATGCTTTCTGGCTGTCTTCGGCCATGTCCTGACGTGCTGTATGTTTGCAGGCTGTCTTTAGCTGTGTGTTTTCTGGCTATCTTTGGCTATGTCCTGATGGGCTGTGTGCTTTCTGGCTATCTTTGGCTCTGTCCTGATGGGCTGTGTGCTTTCTGGCTGTCTTCAGCTGTGTCCTGATGGGCTGTGTGCTTTCTGGCTATCTCCGGCTGTGTCCTGATGGGCTGTGTACTTTCTGGCTGTCTTCAGCTGTGTCCTGATGGGCTGTGTGCTTTCAGGCTGTCTTCATCTGTGTCCTGATTGGCTATGTGCTTTCAGGCTGTCTTCAGCTGTTTCATGACAGGCTGTATGTTTGTAGGCTGTCTTCAGCTATTTCATGATACATTGTATACTCACAGGCAGTGAGCAAGATGTGTTTTTTTTCTTGCACCTCCATCTAGATTTGATGGCTTTGAGAAGAGGCTGCAGCATTGTTTTACACCAAAAATGTTTGTTCTGAACTATTTTCTTTAATTTTCCTGAAGATATCAGTATGTGAACTGACATCTGGAAAGTTTTGAATTACTGACTTAATATTTGAGTTATTTAGTCTCTGACCCAAAATATGAGGCAGTAGTGAGTTTCTAACTTAACATTTAGGATAGTACTAAGTTTGTCTTCTGGTATTTATGACATTAATTAATTTGGTCTTTCCAGGTAGAAAAGTCTGGTTGGTGTTTGGTTAGTTCACTGAAAACA